ATCAGGAATAGGATAAGCTTCAGGCCACTTGGTGAAGTAATCAATGACAACGAGTATGTATTTGTTGCCATCAGCAGTTCGTGGAAGAGGTCCCAGGATGTCAAAGGCGATACGTTCAAAAGGCGCACCTACGTTGTAACGTTGCAGTCTGCCTCGGCTGCGTTTCCTCGGTCCTTTCCGACCTGCACAGGCATCGCAAGATCGGCACCACTTTTGCACGTCATTCTTTGCATTATTCCAGTAAAAGCGCTCACGAACTCTCTGTAAGGTCTTCATAATTCCAAAGTGACCTCCTGTAGGGCTGTTATGTAGTTCTTTGAGGACATCAGGAATCCGGGATCTTGGAAGTATCAGTTGCCATCGGAACGTCTTCCCATCATCCGACTCGAATTTCCGGTATAAGACGCCGTTTCGAATGTGAAGTGAATTCCAGAGTGCCCAGTATTGTTTTGTTGTAGGACTACAGATAGAAATGTCCTGCCATGTAGGTTTTCTGTTTGATGACTCTATTAAATCAAGTATGGGTTTAATGTCGCGGTCTTCCAGCTGGCCTTTCCTGACTTCATCATCACTCCACGGGTCACGATCAGCCGATGTTGATGTTGTAATTTGTCTTGCGACCGGAGTCAGCAGCTCGTATTTCGTTTCCACCCTGGAACAATATCGGCAGCTTTCTTGGCAAGGTCTTCTAGACAGGGCGTCGGCGTTTCCGTGTGATGATCCCTTACGATGACGGATAGTGATGTCATATTCTTGGAGTCTCTGTATCCACCTGGCTATTTGACCCTCAGGAATTTTTGAAATTTAAAAGCCAGGCCAATGAGGCATGGTCCGTTGCGGAGGAGGAATTTTCTCCCGTATAGATAATGATGGAAATGTTCTACAGCTTTGACTATGGCGAGCAACTCTTTCCTTGTGACACAGTAATTCCTCTCCGGTTTAGACAGGCACTTGCCTCCAGTAAGCTACTACACGTTCTTGGCCGTCTATTTCTTGGGACAAAAAACAGCACCGACACTTTCATTGCTCGCGTCGGTGTCGAGAATAAATGGTCTGTCGAGCTGAGGATACGTCAGGATTGGAGCAGATGTTAAAGCTTCCTTTAAGTTGTTAAATGCATCCTCGCATTCCTTTGTCCACAAGAATCTTTGCTTGCTCTCTGTTTCATGACTCCATGTGAAGTCAGTCTATGCGATGGAAGAAAAGTCTTCACGAATCTCCTATAGTAGGTACAAAGCCCTAGGAAGCTTCTCAGCTGATGGACATTTTCGGGACGGACGCGTCCAGGATTTAACCGCTGATACCTTTTCAGGATCCGTGCGCACACCTTCTGCAGAGATGACATGTCCGAGGTAAGTCACTTCCTGTCTGAAACAATTTGCATTTAGCGGGACTCGAGCTTTAAGATTGGCCTTCTTTCAGTTTTCTGAAGCACCTTTCTAAGATTTTCTAGATGTTTGTCAAAACTCTTTCCGACGATGATGATATCGTCCAGGTATATCAGACAGGCTTCGTAGGAAAGGCCTTTCAAAACACTCTCCATAAGGACATTTCGAATGTTGCCGGCCGCATTACACAGTCCAAACGGACATCACTTTGAACTGCCAAAGTCCTTGTCCCGTAGTAAATGCCGTCTTTTCTCGGTCATCAGGATGGATTTCTACCTGCCAATACCCACTCTTTAAATCAAGTGTTGAGAACCACTTGCTTCCAGAAAGAGTGTCTAGAATGTCATCAATTCTAGGAAGAGGGTAACTGTCTTTCTTCGTAACCTCATTCAACCGGCGATAGTCAACGCAAAATCTTGTTGAGCCGTCTTTCTTTCTGACGAGAACGATGGGATGCCCATGGACTCGCTGAAGGCTCGATGACATCGCCTTCTTCCATATCTTTTAACAGTGTTCGCACCTCTTCCTGTTTAGCAAACGGTAGACGTCTTGGATGTTGCTTGATCGGGGGATGATCGCCAGTATCTATTCTATGTTGTGTCAAACTAGTTCGACCCACGTCAGAAGACGAGCGGGAGGGGAGAAAACAACTTGAAGATCTTTAATGACGCGATCGGCAGCATTTTTCTCTTTATCGTTTAATTGTGCATTCTGCAATAACTCCGATGTAATGCTCTCTGAGGACACGGATTCTGGGATGTTACTCTTTCTTTCAACGCTGGTTACTGGAGTATATGTTGCAACCACTTCACCTTTCTTAATAACTCTCGACTTTTCAGTTACATTGGCAACTCTCATCCGGGATAACGGTTCTCGATAGGTCGACGAGTGCTGAGGCTACTAAGTACTCCTTTTGGGCTTATTACAGTTATTGGGATATTCTATGATGCCGTAAGCGAAAATTTCTATTTTCGGCTATTGGATCCAGGTGGAAAAGTAAAAGCTCTGATTCTTGCCGGCTATTTGATATAATAGTCCTTCATGCTATTGATTCCAAATAGGGCTATAGAGCCTCAGATTAATAAACTAAATGGGCTTCAGATTCAGATTAAACGAGAATAGGGCTCAGATTCGCATAAATAGGTCCTCAGATGTCAGAATGCAATTCGTTATTTTTAAAGCCCAAGGAAAAATTGTAGTTCCTTAGAAAGTCCAATTCCTGAGTATGCAAGAATCTGTAATATTCTGCCTACATATGCCGTGTGATGGTAAGCGGCACTTCCAAACGTTGATGTTAACAGTTTACTTTTCCGTCGATATCGATCTTCTCACCGGACACAGTCTGGAGGGGTAACGCAGGGCGGCGTCCAGATAAGTTTGTTTCCTAGTTGTTGAGCCAAATCTTTTCGGATGATGGTGACGTTGGCTCCTGTATCTATAGTCATATTGCACGGAACTCCATTAATATATCCTATTATGAAAAGTCCATTACTGCCGCCTCTCACTGCAGAAATCTGAAGCGCTTTAAACGGGGGCTTTTCATTATCTGGCAACCTCCGCCCCGCGAGATGGCCACTAATTAGTTTCCCTGCTGCTTGTTAGAAGCGGTCTTAACATCAGTACCCTGGGGTGTTTTGCAGTTTCGTCGTATGTGTCCTTCAGCACCGCAGTTCCAGCACTTAACGGTCGGTTTCTTGTCACCAATATTCCGTCTCAAGGCGTTCAGTTGTCTAGTTAAATCGTCAAGTCGAGCGGTGACTTGATCCCTGGCTCCTGGACTTGAGCAGCTCTGACGGGGTGGCGGTTCTCGACGAGTGGCTTGCTGGGCTGCCTCAAATTTCATAGCGTACACTAGAGCACTTTTTAAATCTTTTACATCCGCCATTCGTAGAGCTTTCTGTATTTCAGTATCTCGGATGCCGTCGATAAAGTATTGCAAGGACAGGATTTCCCTTGTTTCTGTCGGGCATTCCGAAAAGGCGAGATGGGACAGCCTTTCAACATCCGCGGTGAGCTCCTGAAGTGTTCAGTAGGCTTCTGTTGACGATTTTTAATTGGAGCCTGCTGTAGTCTTTTAAACAATTCTCCCCAAAGCGCAACTCCAAGGCGCCGGACAGAGCTTCGAAATCAACCTTTTGTTTTCGGGAAGAGTCTGAAGGATATCCCTGCGTCGGCTCTTAGAGAAGCGGCGAGATGACAGGCCTTAGCTTGGGAATCCCATCCATTCGCATCCGCCACGATAGAAAATTGTGTCTTATACACCTGCCAGGAGGTCTTCCCATCATATGTGGATAGCTTCAGAGGTGGACGAGCAGGCATTGGTAAGAATTTAAAATCATCAGTCCTGCTCCCTGCCGACACTACGAATTTCTTTAAGTATCCATTTCCTTGGCAACTGCAGAAACTCTCTCTCAATTTGTTGTTCGATTTGGTGTGGACGGCACAAAACTCTTCCTTCAATTCGTTCCTCCACAGCAGAAACTCTCCCTTCTATATGTTCTTTTACAGAAGAAAACTTCTTTCTTCTATTTCTTCTTTCACCGAAGAAACTCTTCTTCAATATGATCTTTTACGGAAGAAAAACTTTTTCTTCAATATGTCCAACTTATTTTCAACTGCGTGTAATTCTGCCTCCATAGCTTCAAATTTATTTTCTATTATGCAAGTAATTTCTCTTTTCATTTCTTCTTGACCAGCTTGAACGGCTTTCATTTCGCCCTTAACGGATTCCTGGCCCAATTTCATTTCTTCCTTAAATGAGGCAAAGGCTGATATTAACTGCCTTAATTGCTCTTCCATCGCTCTTGTTATTGGCATTCAAATCCCACTTCTGACACCAAAAATTGTTGCGTGCGTACGGGTTCGTTATGAAATGAATGCACAAGTCCGATAAAAAAAATGAACAAAAATTTATTATTATCACAACAAAAATGCTTAAATTTTCTCAAATTATCACGCAGTATTACAATATCTCACAGTAGTTTTCTTTTAACTACTCAAATGTCCAATAGAACGTAATTCAAAACAGCTAAGAACGCTAATCCGCGAATTCGCTACAATCAACAACAGTAGTTTTCTAAACAACAACAAAACTAAGCAACTACTACAAACTGAGATGTTTTCCTCCTTTTATAAGATTTTAAAATCACGCGCTAGAATTTTCCAGTACTTTCTCGAAATCCAAAAGAGATATTTATTTATTTAATGCACGCGCTCTTGTATTTTCAATTTTCCGGCGTAGCTTTCTTTTAATATTCGTCACGCGCTGCACTGCGCGAGAAATAAAACCATTTAATTTATAATTGAACTAACATTAGCTTTTTAAATACCAAATTCGTAACACTATGTATATATATTTTAACAAACATGTAAATACGTAAAAAAGCAAATTTAAAGTTAAAATAATGTGCAAACATAAAAACACTTTTTCAACAGAACACACATTTAGCATTACAAACAAGTTTACATTTATTAATTCACAATAACCACTTGATTGGCTCAGCTACTAAACTCCCTACCATAAATAGTTGGTCGGTTAAAATTAAAACTTGAATTACATACTTTTAGGATATTCTTTGATTTTTTCTAGATTTATATTCTTTAAATATTTTAATATTAAAGATAGCAGCTTGACACTCAACTTTACTTACATTAGCGCCATCTATATAATTTGCAGAACACACTTACATCACTTGGGAAATACTTTTGCATTGCAGACTCAACGCTTATATGGTAGGTAAGTTAGAATTAAAACTTACTATTTACTTGCTTTTAAGTATTTTTTAAGTATTTTTTATGTAGTATTTAAGTATTTTCTAGATATGTAATTATATTTTTAAGTATATATTTGTTTTTATAAATTATGAATTAATTTTTATAAATTATGAATTAGTTCTTTTTGGTTTCTTATTGGTTTATATTAATTTGTCTAGTTCCTTTTCGATTAATATGCATATTCGTGTCGGGGAGGTTTCTGTAGACAAGGGTTTCTAAAATGCATTGGTTTCTAAATTAATTTTTCTGAAAATTTAATTTTTTAGAAAAGTTTAATTTAATACTAAACTTCCTTGCTTATGTCTCAAAATACTTCATTATTGGTATTTTCCTTTAGACCTTTAATTTTTAATTGATAATTACTCAAGGTACCACTTAGTTGGTATATCGTTTTGGACATTCTTCACTACTTTTGGTTTTGACTTTTACCCTTGCTTGCATGAATGACGAAACACGAATTGAATGATTGAAGAGTTAGGTTTGGAGGCAACTTCCCTTTGATAAGTCTGTCTCCTGCCTGCTCAACAGTCATTCACTTATGCATTTTAAAAACATTTTTTAGATTAATTTTAATTTGCTAAATTGGTGAATTTATTTTCATGTTTTGGTTTTGCACTTGATTTACTTATGATATCTGAATTTAAATGATATTGTAAATTAGTTCAAAAATTAATTCTTTTATATGTTTGCACATTATTTTAACTTTAAATTTGCTTTTTTACGTATTTACATGTTTGTTAAAATTTAATTAAATTTGTATTTATTCAATTTATTCTTTTGAAACAAATATATATATATATATATGTCATAATAAAAGCACAAGGAAAAGACAGAACACTGTAGATGCGTGCTTAGATCCATATTGAAGAAGAATTTTGATTGTGTAGTATTTAAAGAACTTGGCAGTCGAGGCAGTTTTAATTCCATTTTTATTTGCAACTGATATTTGGGGCCACAATCACTTGGCACTCTAGTCGTGCCTTTCCACAATAGATTTACATTTTTGATATTGTTGAGATAGAAAGCAAGCCAGCGAAATTACATCTTAGCACAGTAGAGAGCAAAAGCTGAAGTGCGTAGTTATGAAGGATAGAAGCATGCGAAGAGAAAAGTTTTGGTTTACAATTCGGTGATTGGTGGTCAAGAGGCGTCTGGTATTAACGGTTACGTAAGATCGCATGATTAATTTGAATGACGCAATGCAGATAAGTTATTACGATTTTAGAATAGAGAGGAAGAATTAATGTTTATAGTTATATTATAATTCTGATTCATACATTTTTATCTTAGCTTCACTTAGTAGTCCTTGTGTGCTGTCGCTACGCCTTTTTCTTTTTGAAGGGGGGAATATGTAAGAATAGAGAGGAAGAATTAATGTTTATAGTTATATTATAATTCTGATTCATACATTTTTATCTTACATATTCCCCCTTCAAAAAGAAAAAGGCCGCGTAGCGACAGCACACAAGGGACTACTAAGTGAAGCTAAGATAAAATGTATGAATCAGAATTATGATATAACTATAAACATTAATCTTCCTCTCTATTCGAAAATCGTAATAAACTTATCTTAATATCCTTCCCTATGAATAATTTAAATAGCTTAAAAATTCGTTACTTAATTTTGCTCACACAATTTATAATTATGAAAAATTAACTGAACAAGAATTTCAGATTTTCTCAAAACAAACTGCAGAAATTTTAATTAAAGTTGAAATGAAAACTATAGAATTCGCAGCATATTAAATGATTTAGTTTCTGAGTTAGATTCACACGAATGTAAAAATTTTTGAGCTGTTGAAAAAGTGGAAATGCAAATAATTTTCTGTCGCACATACTTGCAAACACTAACTCAGATCTACCTTGAACCCGCTGTAATGCTTAATTCCAAAACGGTAATGCACTGATGATTTCCTTTTCACTAGGCGTTCCAACTTCTCAATTTATCGAGAGATTACTTTCAATTGGAAACACTACGCGTGAAATTTTGAAGCACTGCAAAACACCACAGCAGAAGAATGATCTGTTATTTTTTAAACACTGCAAAAACAAATTTGATGATTCACTTCTTTCACATTATCTTGGATTTATCACAAAACGATGATTTGAAGAGCAGAACTAGATTTTCGATTGAGGTTTCAGGCTGCAGAAAACTATCCTATCGGCTTAATTGTCATAATAAAAGCACAAGGAAAAGACAGAACACTGTAGATGCGTGCTTAGATCCATATTGAGAAGAATTTGATTGTGTGGTATTAAAGAACTTGGCAGTCGAGGCAGTTTTAATTCCATTTTTATTTGCAACTGATATTTGTGGCCAAATCACTGGCATCTAGTCGTGCCTTCCACATAGATTACATTTTTGATATTGTTGAGATAGAAAGCAAGCCAGCGAAATTACTCTTAGCACAGTAGAGAGCAAAAAGATGAAGTGTGTAGTTATGAAGGAGGAAGCACGCGAAGAGAAAGTTTTGGTTACAATTCGGTGATGGTTGTCAAGAGGCATTGGTATTAACGGTTACGTAGGATCGCATGATTAATTTGAATGACGCAATGCAGATAAGTATTAGGATTTTAGAATAGAGAGAAGAATTAATGTTATGTTATATTATATTCTGATTCATACATTTTTATCTTACATATATATAAATGTAAAATTGAAAATAATATATCTTATTGTTATACTGTAAATAGTAATAACATTATTGAAGTTAAAAGAATGATTATTCATTGTTAAAAAAGGTTTTTAAAATTAAACATTCCATTGTAAACACATAGCATTTAAATCTACGGTTTTGTTATTCGTAATAAAAATTTTTAGATGAATTTCGTAAAGATAATTTTTTAATGTCATATTCCCATTAAATTATACGATAAATTATTTATTTTTTCCTTTAGTTCATTAATTATTTTATGAGTTTTCGTAGCTAAGAGCCAACGTATATAGATAAAATGTGTAAGCGTATATATAAACTTTCTGTTGTATTTTGTTTCCTCAAAAACGTTATACAAGCAGGTTCTGTTTGAACATATAACGCATAGTTTCTGTTCTAAAATTCCCTCAATAGATTATTTTAATTGTAGAAATTGGGAAAATAATTCAGAGTAAATTTGGCGAGGAACCGTTAGAAAATGCATAACTCCGTTATGTTGTGTTACTACTCCATAAAAATGAATCCAGTTCCCATTTCTAATTACGTATTATCATCGATAATCATGTTCTTGTTTTCGAATTAATCTTAAAGCTGATGTACGCATTATTTTTCAGACATTATAACACTGTTAACTGAGAACTCACCGGCATGTATTCTTGATCCGCCGAATAAGACTGGACGTATTCCTTTACATTTTGCTTGTGAATATAGTCATTCTGAAGTTGTTCGGTGTTTTTTGTCAGAAGAATGCAGTGTATTTGCAGAAGACCACCGATGAGGCAGTCCTCTATTGAAAACCGTACATAATGTCGCACAACATGTAGCGCCAATTGCTTCTCTGCTTTTAGTCGCTGGTGCGAACGTAAGTAACTGAATCAAATCAGTGTTTTTAAATGATAAATATTTAGGATACTATTCCGTTTTGAGGACCGTAAAAAATCGTCAAACTATTGTTGATGCCATTGCTGCCAAAAGTAATTGCGGCAATCCTAACGCAAAAAAAGGAAGTACAATAGTAAATAACTAAGATTAATTTTGTTTTAATTTAGATAAAAGGTTAATTTCATATAATCCTTTTTTATTATTATAATTTATATAAAAATGGATAAACATAACTGAATGGAAGCATAAGAGTAAATATAACTATTTCAGATCATTATTATAATTTATATAAAAAAAGGCTAAACATAACTAAACATATAGGCGAAAATAGAGTGGATTCCTGTATCCCTATTTTCGCTACTGAGTTATCGCTAAAGCATTATTTCATCTCCATGGTTGTTCAAACATAATTTTCTATAATGAATGATGCCTTTTCTTTCAAAAAAAATTCTATTGCAGACTTTTCGTCACTGGGCAATTCCCAAATTGTTAAATCCACAGCGTTATCAAAAAACGACGATTTAAAAATTAAACTAGTATTTCAATGGCGTCTTAAGAAATATAGACCCTATCTAAACTTACGCAATTTAAATCAGCGTGTAAGCTAGATTTGGCGCGCTGTTAAATGGTCGCGTTTGCTAGATTTGGCGCTTTTTTGCGCATACATTTTCGCTGGAATTTTTTTACGGTCCTCAAAACGGAATAGTACATAATGTCGCACAATATGCAGCGCCAGTTGCTTCTCTGCTTTTACACGCTGGTGCAAACGTAAGTAACGGTTCAAATCAGTGTTTTTAAATGATAAATATTTAGAATTAATTTTTTAGCAATGTATGTCATTCCCCGCAGATCGCTACGCAGTTCAAAATTTGCTTTTTGCCATCAAATTTGACAAATTTACTGACAACCAAAGCTACTTTGGCCTCTTTTTTATTTATTTATTTTTTTTCAGTTAATAAATTAAAAATTGTTTTGCAATTATACGCATAGTCCAATTTTTCGGGCATATATTCAGCTGTTCACAAATTTCTATTTTAGGCAAAACTATAGAAAATAATGAAATTAATTTCTAGAGTTATATGTCAAAGTGTTACATACTATTTATTTTGATCATATTGTGCGTTCTGATTTATGTTTTATGAGCTTGTCTTAAAACGCTCCACAGGGAAAAGAACACACATGAGAACACTGGTATCATCGTGAGAATTGTGAGCATAATTATGTCGTTATTACTTCTTAAAATTTGGTTTAAATCTCAGGAGAGTATTTGTTTCAGAAAAGCATAATGAAGGGAAAAAAATGTCCTTGCCACAAACGTCACACATCGAAAAGGCCCATAAAATTGGTAAAATGTTATTAATTATTAGTAGGAAAGCAGTGGTAAAATTGCTTTATCAGGTCCCTTTAATAATGCCTTCAGTTCTAAAAATTTGTAGATGTTGTGTAAATGCTTAATAAACTAATAAAATAAATAGACAAAAAAGAAATTCCGGCTTCCAAGTGCCCATGTTTTTAGGTGGAGGACTACGTAATTCAAAATTTGATTGCTCTCTAGGTATCGTTATTTTTTCAAAGTGCGAGAAACATGCATACATTCATGCAAATTCTTCATTACCTAATACCTTTAAACATAACGCAAGGTGATCATATTTAGTGGCAACAAAGTGATACGTCGTTTAGAGTGAGTCAAAGCAAAATACCTTTTCGAAATTAATATCTCATTCGGGGCTAACGTCTCTTCAGGGCTAAAAATAAAACATGCAGTATAGAATTTATTGTGACATTTCAGTTCATCAACTGTTTGGGAACACTTTATAATTCTTGTTATAATATTTTAATATGAAATTTTAATGTCAAATTTCTGTTTAGGCTAACCATGTCGACCGTTTTGGGAGTACAGCACTGGTGTATGCGATAGGAAATTGTGCTGAGATAATGCAACGCGCACCAAAATCAATTGATCAAATTTATACATATGCTGTCGATAGACGTGGATCTGACATTAATGCTGTTGATGATCAGGGAGAAACTGCGCTTCATATTGCTGTTATAGAGAAACAGGAAAATTTAGTTCGAAAAATAATTTTGGGGGGAAGTGATATCGATAGACGTGACAGATTTGATTTTACTCCATTGCACTATGCGTCTCTATTTGGAAGCCAGAGACTAGTTGACTTACTCATCACTTGCGGTGCTAATTTACGGGACCAAAACTGGGAAAACTATTTAACTACTTTTGAATACTTCTTGGGAGAAAAATTTGGAGCAATTACGTGAAAGATGTATTCAACTATTAAATCATGTTATTCGTGCAGCGTCCAACTGGTGCAGTGAAATCGGAGCAGTGTTTTCCTTTATAGACCCAGTACCATATAAGGAGATTAAAAGAATATCTAGAAAAAACGTTAGAAATGTCGAAGACTCCAGTTCATTTCGGACTACCTCCATTATTGGTAAAATATCTGCAACTTAAAAACTGATGGAAATACGTAATATGATATGTGTAATATGTAGTATGCTGGTCATATGCATAAAAAAGAAGGTTATATGTTTGCATGTGATATGTTTTTTCTAACTATTATTAAATTTCTGAAGTGTAAAATTTAATAAATATAGAAAAAACTATAAGTGTTCATTTTCTTTACTCCCACATTGAAGGAATCGTTACTGTTCTCTTCTATTAACATTATTCTACATAATATTATAACACAAATACGCGGCTATAAGTAAATGCAAGTATTCTAAGTTACATAAATAAAAATCTATAGATTATGAGAAAAAAAAAGACTTAGACTCAATACAGGTTAAAAATGAAGAAAAAATTTTCGAGATACTGAAGCGGACAAGAATCAGTGCAATTCGCATGAATTTTCAGGCTTCTAGCTTCTAAGGCTTCAACTTGTACTGGTTCTTGTTTGTTTTACAATCTGTAACATACTATATGGCTGTTTTACTGTAAAATAATTTGAACAAGAAATAGCCCTTTTCTTAGAATTATATTTAAATTTACTGCAATAGCAAAACTACGATCCAGTTTCCACGGAAAGCTCTGAAAAGGGTCTTCCCTCTCTAAGACACACAACCGTCCTATATTTCGCCCAACTGAAGCAAGATAACATATGCAATAATAAACAACGAAATATTTTCTTTACCTGCATTGGCATATACATTAAATGCAACCAACAACCGCACACACGCGTATACGGTTCGTTCTAACTATTCCAAGAGCTAAGAGAATAAAGTTAAGTATACATATGTATATATCATGCACGTAGTATTGAAGCGAGCAAATGAAGCATGCCAAGAGAAACCAACTGAAAGTTATTTAGAAGTCAAACAACAAAAATCAGAGTTATATTTGCAAATTTTCACAGGACTTCCATGGTTTTACCGAACCATCATCCTCAGCTGCCAAAGTCCAAGTGGAGTACATTTGATATAAACATCAATTTTTGCGATTAGCTTAAGAAGTTACTATGCAGAAAATCAAGATACATAATATATAATCCTACACCTCAAAGGAATTTTTTTTTAATTAATTGGAAAATATTGAAAATTTATTTTTGAATTTCTTCATCATATTTTTATAACACTTAAAAATCCTTGCCTTCTTTATTCAGGGAATGTACTAATTCGTTTCATTTGCACATGAATTGATTTTACTGGATCACTTGTGCACGAGGTCCGCAAAAATATTGCCGTCAAGTAGGAAAATATGTTCAAATGGGCTTAGACAGGGTGATGCACTGGCCTGCTTGCTTTTTAACCTTACCCTCCAAAAAATCATAAAAGACGTCTGTTCAGATTTTTGCGTTTGCTGAGGATATTGACATAGTCGTACGCACTCCTGAGTCACTTAGAGAGGCTTTTACATTTCTAGAGGCTACAGCCAGTAAAATGCATCTAGCAATGAACCAAAATAAAACTGAATGCATGCCATGTGGTAATAACAGCAGCCCCTATTTTGAAATAAATAAAAATATTTATTTATTTTTTAATTTGTAATTTAATTACAAATTTGAAACTGTTGGCAAATTTAAATATTTAGGACCAGAAGTTAATACTCTCAATGATTTAATGCCCGAGATCCGTAGTAGAGTCACAGTTGCTAAGTTAGAGTCGGTTAGCATTGCTAACCGATTTTTTTTCGGTCACAAAAAATACTTGAATTCTAACTTCATTAGCAGTAAAACGAAATTTTAATTTACAAAAGCTTAATCAGACCCATTCTCTTACATACTCTGCTGAGACCTGGCCAATGACAGAAAAATCTAAAAGTATCATTTCTGTCTTTGAAAGAGAAACATTTTGAGAAGTATTTTTGGTGGCGTAAAATGTAACAATATCTGGAGAAGAAGAACTAACGCTGAACTCTATAAATCATTTAAAGAAATAGGTATAGTAAAATATATAAGGATTCAGAAAATTAAATGGGCAGGACAACCTGTGCAGAACGGATGAAAATCGAGTAACTAAAAAGATCTTCTCAACCAGACCATTCGGCACCCGAAAAAGAAGGAGACCTAAACTTAGGTGGCTCGACTGTTTGGAAACAGACTTAAGAATTTTAAAAATAACCAATTGGATATCCTTGGCCAGGAATAGAAGAGCTTGGAATTCGATTCTGAGGAAGGCAAGGGCCGATCCTGAGCTGTCTGGCCATTGAAGAAGAAGGAAAATATGTTATTTTGCCAGAAATCGCAGTGAAGAAAGTATTAACCGAATTTACAGCATATTTAAAAGGGTTGGAGAATATTTGTGTAGTAAAACATATTTATGAAATAACCACGTGTTCTGAAATATATTCACACATACCACGTGAGTTGGAATAAATTATTGTTACCATTAGCAGCTAATATGTATAATTTTTTCATAAATAATTGATACTGTTACGTTTTTCTTCTTCTGACACCAGTTGTTACGTTTTTTTCTTCCGTCACGTTCGTACGGGGTTCGCGTGGATTTGGGGTGAATAACGACGACACTTGATGAAGTATCGAAACACTTTATTTAGCCAGTATTCTAAAGACAGCTCCAAAATCACATTACACAGTCGTCGAAGATATACTATAAACACGTCGGAACAATCAGCGACACAGCCTTCAGGCTATCAGGCTATCACGGTAAAGACAGCTTCACGGCAAAACACCAGAGTACAGCTCCCGACTCTGCTCGGTCGTTCTCGGAACTCCCCGTACTTTCGAGACTCTCCACGCTACAACTCGCGATGCACTCGACGGCACACAGAGCACGGCTCCCGGCTCTTCGGTTCAGTCGTTCCCAGAGCTCAACATGCTCTCTCGACAATGTACTAACCGCGATAAACTAAGAGACTCCTTCGGTGAACTCGACGACCCATTCGGCACTCGCTGCCCGGCTGTCAACTCGGATCGACTCCGCAGGGATTGACTCGCTAGACGAGACACCAACTCGATACTAACTCGCACTCTAGACGAGGCATTCTCTATCAGCTCGCTAGGCGAGGCCCACACTAACTGACTGCGAACCAGCAGGGCTTATATAGTTTTTGGCTTGTGTTCGAGAACATTCTGGGCTAAACCGGTGAGAATTCGTTCCAGAAGGTTTTACATCCGTCACTAGCATATCGCCAATTTTGTCGCCCAACGTCGCCAAATGGGCGATTTCTCGCCAAATGTGGCACTCTTGCCTTCCCTTGCCATTTTATGGTAACCCTAAAACTGCTTTGGGGGGAAGCCATCTTACCGCGCCTGTACATTTCGTAACAATATGTTATGGTTAGTATCACTGGAATATAAAATACGAAAATGTAACGCAATTTAACTGATATTTTTGCATGACGTTTAGTGGAAAATTTCCTCTATTTTAAAAAATTCCGTAAATAGTTACACTAGATATTTTGTAAATTGATGCAGTTTAGTAATAGCTAGTGATTAAATGCTAAGTATTTTTTAAAAATTTGATCTGCGACTGAAGTTCCTTCAAATTTAGAAATGCTTATTTTGCCAGTTCTTGAAAGACAGCATAATATTCAGTAAACACTAATCGAGAATTGTGGTAATTTTTTTCGGGGTGTTAATATCTTAAGCCAGGGGGGGGAAAGTCACCAAACCACACTTGTGTCTTTGTTAGATTCAAACTGTGGATAAAAATGACAAAATTCAATTTTTAGAAGAAAACAGCTTCCTCAGCTATTTTCTTACGCGGATGTAATTCGTCATTTTATTACAAATGTATCTGGAACAAATCAGCTGCACTCGTTTGTCATTACGTGAAAATTTTAATCAGAGAAAATATAGTGTATTTTGAACTACGTAATTTCACTATAAGCTTTCCTGAATAATATACATAAATTTTTCAAAACGATAATTTTTGAGGAAATTATAAAAGTTCAATTTAGAAATAAGCATTTTACAAGGGAAGAGAAGATGAATGAATGAATTTCGTAATAACTGATGTCCTGTAATTATAATACATCCCGTTCGGTAGTTTATTATATCAGTTATTTCTGATTACAAATTTTAATATAAGAGGAAATTTGGAATGCAAAAATTAGCTCACTGGTAAATTAGTTCCACTTTTTTGGATAATTAGTTCAAAGGGGCTTTGTCCCTGAAGGACTATTGTTTTCGTTTTGCGATTTTGCGTTGAATCACTTTAATGTCCGTTTCACTTTTCCAACTGTTGCCACCAAATGTTAGAGTCCTGCATTATATTTGAAGAAATTAAAATTGAAAAATCTGCAATAAATGTATGTATATTTCTCGCATTGTGATAAAACAACGGTACGCATATTTCACAAGTGCACATCAGCGTAGCCACTGAGGGAGGGGTTTCGAAAATGGACCAATGAGATTCTATTGAGCTAATACTGTCTGTCTACGGTAAGAACACCTCCCGCCACGGTGTCTGGCGGGTGGCGGTCGCTATAGCAACAGGGCTAGTATATTTCAAATAGGGACGAACCAAGGGTTGCTTTATTGTTATTTTATTTTTGGCGACTGTTGGCTGAAGGGAAAAGAGTTTATCATTCGTCTTCTTGGTTTCATTCCAGCTGCACGCATCTTTTCTTAAGCCTTATATTATTATTAGCTATTTTATTCTCGTTGTTAATCTTTTGTACTGGTATTTGTTCAAATTTGCTTCTATTTAGCTTGATTTTCATAGTGCTTTGTTAATCGCCATTTTTTAAAATGCCCTTCCAGTTTAAGAAAGGTCAACCTTTAAAGTCTCAGGCACGTCAAATCGTGTTACAATGTCGCAGAATTTTGCGCTCTGAAGCTTCGGCGAACTCTTTAGTAGTTCCTCTTCCTCAAGTTTTGAAGAGAGAGACGTCGCAAGCTACTGGAGTATCGGAGTATACAATTAAAAAAATTAAGCGCGAAGTATCAACAATGGGGAAGATCAACTTCTAAATACGCCTGGAAAGAAACGTAAAAGCCCTGCTAATCATAAGTGCGAAATTGACGATTTTGACAAATGCGTTATACGGCAGACTATACAAGATTTTACATCAAAGAAAAGAAAGTGCCATCT